ACAACTAAAACAAAAGCAATTCAGTTAGCGAAAACAAGCCCCTCGGGTCAACCGAGTCAATAGAGGAGAATATACGGGGTGGAGCAGAAAGTAACTTCCTATTTTTATTGGAATAGCTATTGATGTTATGTGTAGATTGCAATGAAAATTACCTTATTTTGTATACTGTAGTGTGACATCATTTGTAATATTTTTTCTCATGTGTCTAATTTTTTTTTTTTTTTTTTTTTTTTCCCCAAAGAGATTGTCTAATTGACATAATTGGCTTTGCATCCAAAACAGCATGTTTTCCATGTTCGCCCCTCCACCATCGTTGAACATGCGTTACAGATTGCCACACTTCATACCTCACTGCAATTTTCGCTCTGTCCTGAATTACTTAATCTTTGTGGCATCTCTCATTCAGAGGCTCCGGGGGGGGAGGAACGAAAAGGAAAAAATATTAGGCATATGAAAAAGGGAAAAAATATTACAAATGATGCCACACTACAGTCTACAAAACAAGGTAACTTTCATTGCAATCTACGCATCATTAACTATTCCAAATTCAAAATAGGGAACTAGTTTCCCCCCACACTTGTAAAACGCATTGATACTTCGAGCTCGTTTTTTACTCCTGAATTTTTCCTTCAGACCATTCATTTTAAAATTAATAGTTGATCAACAGGTGACACTCATTTTAAAATTAATACATTGAGTGCCATGTTCGTGCATTATTTGATACGGATCACGGAAATGATATACTATTAAATCTACAGCTTAATATTAATTACAAGCATAATACATATGAAAAATTACACATGAAAGCATTTATTACATATGAAGAAGAAAAAATCGCTTGTAATTAAATTTTAAATATTAATTACAAGCGAATTTAAAAAATTTTGCAACATTTTTTATTTAGAGGGATTCAAAACATAAATTTTATGCGATTTATTTAGATAGTCTTGATGGTAAGTGTCTATGCAATCTTGAACCATTAAACCAAGAAATGGTCTGTAGCGACATCTTCGAATTAGCTATGGAGACTATATCGAAGAACTAGAAATTCTAATGCTATTATTAGTCACATGCAAAAGGACATAAGTCGTACTGAAATATTAATTGGATCAGGTATCACAAGAATAATTGAATGCTGAAATATTAATTGAACAATTAATACTGAAATATTAATAGATGAGATATCACAAAATATTAATTGGATAATATATCATAATATTTCCGTGTGAAAGAAAAGAACTTAAAGGAGGTTTTGTTGCCATGAAAACTAAATTAGGCATGACATTACTGGAAAAAAACTACTAGAAGTTAGAATCAAAGAAACGTAAATATGACTGTAGCTTCACTTCTTTCAAACGTTATAGCAGCGGAATAGTTACTTTAAATGTTAAAAATTTAAAACGCAGAATAATACGAAAGAATTAGAAGGTCAATATGGGAACCAGGAGGATAGTAAAATAATTAGCTCAAATATGGGTTTTCCTAGAGAATATGGAACAGCTGGATCAAGCTGAGCTAAATGCTTTGTTGAACCGTCATGTGTTGTTTTCAGGGACCAAATTACTACTTTTTCAGATATTGATATTTCAAATAGGAAAATTCTCTTACGAGTAAATATTTCCGTCAGAGACGGATGTATATTAGTTACACGGTAAAGGCATTTTCGATCTTTAGTCCACAACATGAATTTTATGTATTAATGTTCAGAAGCTTTACATTTTTATAAAATGGCTTGAAGTGCAATGTAGAAAATTCTGTCTACTCCTTCAGGAAGAGGTCTTCCTTCAAAAAACATTACTGAAGGAGATCTTCAATAATTTTCTTAAGACCTTCAGTTGATCTGCGTCGCATTTTTGTAAACTATGTTAACTTAGATAAATCTTTCACATGCTTGTTAATTTTCTGACCTCCTGTGATACACTGAGCTTCGTTCCTGAGTTTGTTTCTCAAAATACTGGGAAAGGATATCGGAGTATCATTAGAAAGTTGGTAAGTATGAGAATCTTTCAAAAAATGTTTGCAAATGCTATGAATTACTAAAAAATTTTCGTTTATTATTAATTTCTCATGAAATGTATTTAACTTCATTGCTTACATGATTATGCTTTCGCTTATTTGCAATGTGCGTTCTCTGTCGGACTCAGCGAATATTTTTCTGCTCTTTCTAATTTTTAAGCTAAATTACAGATGGGTAAAATACAAATACATGTTGGTGTAAATAAAATCACAGTTAATTTTTGAAGCTTAGAGAAGAAAAGATTAATATCTTTCTTCTTATACCAGAGGGAATGAAAGTGCACTCAAGACTGCTGGTAATGAATTTTTCTATAAATTAACAGTGTAGTAACGCAGAAGTCCAGAAGTCCGTACATTGTAAGAATAACAGCTATCAGTAAATGTTAGCTCTGTAAGGTTTAGAACATTACTGATATAACCTTAATCATTTTTATTTAATCATTTCTTACTATTTCTTACTCTTAAAATCGTGTATAATAGTCGTAAATTTATTTCTATTATCCACGACTTTTGGTGAAATCAAGATGGCCACCATTTTTTAAAACACAGAGTTTCCTCGAAAATCTGGATAGCAACCATTTTTCAAAACAACGTATTTCATGTGCTTTGGCGCCAAAACAAATTCGCCAGACTTTGAAGGTGGGCTATACTGAAGCTGTTCCGCTAATGTTAATAAACCAACAAAAAGGTGTAAAATTTTTGTCTCTCTTTCACCTTTTGGTTGAAAACAAAAATTGTGAATTAATTTATGCCTCCCTTCATTGTCCTCTATCAGTGACCCCTCCTATGGTGTCATTTCACCAATGGATCATGCAGTAGAGAATCAGTACGAAGTAATCCTCAAACAATTTCCAAATCTTTTGCTGCCAACACTCGTCAATAATAAAATCAAAAGTCACAACATTCAACTTTTCATTGAACTAAGAGATCTCTTGTTGTGACTACGGTCAGAAGACTCTCAGCCGAAAAATTAAAAGCAGCAAAAGCCGAATTTGAGATTTTGTTGCAGCAAAGTCTTTGCAGGCCTTCAAAAAGTTGTTAGGCCATTTCTCTACATCTCACCCTAAAGAAACCATGTGATTGCAGGCCATGAGGAGATTACAGAGCTCTTAATAATACTTCCACTCCTGAGCTATATCCTCTACCGTTCCTCACCGACTGTAGCTATATTCTTCACGGAAAGAATATTTTTGTTCATCCATTGACATAATAGTGTTGCCCACCAACAACTGATAGATTATTTACTAAGAATATATAGTGAATTAGAGTTTCAGAAAGCAGTGCTTCCTTTTACTCTGTATCTGGTGAAGACCATTGGTAAAACAAAATGAGTAGTATGGATAAAATGAGACGAAAGTATAAGTGGCCGCCATCAGTCGATGAATTAGGTGAGTTTCTGGTGGAAAGTCCAAATCAGTGAACTGAAGATTATAGTATGAATAAAAAATGTTAAGGATGGAAAATGTCAGATGAATAATTGTGTTTTTATCTGGGAAATGGAGAACATCTAGGAGAGTTGATGCAGTTGTTAGGATGAGTGAGAACTGAACAGAAATTTCTGGTAACTTTTTTAATATAATTTTGAATTGCGCCTATTTTGAGATCGTGGTGCGTTGATAATCTGTCTAATCTAATCTTAGAAGAACTTAGGTGTGTTGAAGGTGAGTTTTGGCAGAATGGCCGCAGACAGGACTGACATAGAGTAATGCTGGTCGAAGTATACATTTATATAAGAGGAGTTTATTTGAAGCGTCCTAATGACTCCTTCTGCGAAGAAATGAGAGCATAGTTGAAAGCGTGATATTAATTTTTTTCAAAGTTTCTCTGAAATGTTTCTGAAAAGTCAATTTTTTATCTAGAATGACTCCTAGATGTTTGACTTCGTCAATCCAGCCAATTTCTTCATCAAACAGAAGAGGTCTTGGTGCTGTGAAATTTGTCTGTTCTTTCTGAAAAATTATTGCTTTTGAGTTTTCAGTATTAACTGTGTAGCGATCACGTGGTTCGGTGAAGCGTCAGAAGTTGCCTGCCCGTGTCACCATCTATTAACACCGGTACGAAATGCTGCATCTCATGAGCCGGGACCCGAACCTGGGTTTGTTTACCACGAGTACAATTCTTTACAGCTAGCCCAAAACACCTCTGTTGTGCTAGGTTCAAGAATTCCAACTCCTTCAAATTTGCGAGCGCTGATATGTTCTTGAGATCGTCGCGTCGTCCTTGAGATAGTACGCCATGTGTCCTCATTGGAGGGAGGAGTCTGTAGTTCTCACGGATAGTCGGCCATATAAGAAGCCTTTGATTGTGAGACCTTTGCTTCTAGCCTTTACTTGAGGTCGTTCATGTAGATAATCGAAAAATCCAGAAGTTTCTGTGAGAAAACATCGGAAAGGAGATCTTTGGCGAAAATTAGTGATAAGCAATGGCATATTCTTGGGCTTTGGTCATCAGGTCTGTAGTTCTCCGGGTTACCAATGTTGCGATCACGTGATTTGGTGAAGCAAGGTTTAAGAATTCAAGCTCTTTCAAATTTGCGAGGGCTGAGATGTTTTCGAGATCGCTAGAATTGAAATCCTCCAAAGAGTGAGCCAATTCTAGATAATTGAGGTAATGTTGAAGAAATGAGCTGGACAACTGTAACTGTAGAAGCTTGGGGTCATAAAATTGTAGTTTCATCTGCGAAAAGAGCAATGTTTTTTAGGAATATCATAAATGTAAATGTTATATAAATATGCTGAAAGTAGTGATCCTTGGGATTTGATTTATGAAAAATAAACGTGTTGTGTTCTTTTTATTAAGTTCTCGTGTGATCTAATTTTATTAATTTAAAGAATTAAAAGTTTATTACGGGTAAAAGATTAGCATAAAATACCCACTTCATCATTAACGTGAAGCATTTCAGGAATTTATAGAAATATTAAACAAAACACGTGGTTAGCAAGCTACCTGCAAACAACTCAACTCGATATAATGGGTGGAATTAAGAATTTACGACGACGGTGACGGAATTCTAGATAGCAAACTTTGGGTTCCACTTGACAGTCGATTGATTATGCATGCAGGATAAAGTGCTGAAAAATGCATTTTACCTGCAATTATATGTAAGTTATTAAACATGATAAACTATTGTATTTGAAATTAATATGAATCTGGTTACAACTTCCGAATCTACCCGGAACTCTTTTTCTTGTTTTTTTCTTCTAATGTTGCATGTCTTTTTAAATTAATTCAAAACCGAAGAAATGGATCAAATAGCTGTTATTCAGGGACTTCTGTGCTCAGGTGACAAAGTTCTATTATCCATCGAAGCGGGTCGTGTCCAGGATTGGGTTAAATCCAATCGGGTGTTGGCTCTAGTTGAACATTCAGGTGAACATGCAGTTTTTATTTTGGTACAGACTCCGTCTTCTAATCCCGGTTATTTAACCATTGAAAAGGCTGTAGCTATCAATGATAGCTTTAGATGTGAAATTGAAACTTCTGGTTTGGATTCAAATACTGATGACAATGTGTATCTGAAAATTACAAGTGGAAAACATAAATTTTTATTTGAGCTGCCATATAATGCCAAAACAAAAAATTTTGCCTCTCAAATTTCAAAAGCATCTGAATCATACTTTTTAAAAATGGGACCTCAGTCTGATTTCCAGTGGCTTGTAAAGTATCAGCCTTTACCTGTTATAAAGGAATCCACATTTTTCCTTGATGATGCTGATAGTTTGAATGCAATGAACCTTGACTCTCAGTCTGTTAATTCGATGAACTGTGATGACACTTTTACAGATTTAGATAGTGCTTATTTTCCACAATTGATGGCAGCTCATAGTGATTCAGATCTAACTAAAGGTCAGATGCAGTCACCAGAATTCAATAATTTGCCCAGGCAAAGCATAGCGATGGGTGTTACACCTCTTGCTGCAAGAGAAAGTGTTATTCGACTTCAAATGGCAATGCGTGAAGATGATTATGTGTTCTTGCAAACATATACTGTGTTTATGGGTACATGGAATGTAAATGGTATGTCTCCAAAGGAATCCTTAAAAGACTGGCTTGCAGTAGATGATGTGCCACCAGACTTTTATGTTGTTGGATTCCAAGAACTTGATCTCAGCAAAGAAGTGTATCTTTTCACTGATACTCCAAAAGAAGAAGAATGGTTAGAAGCAGTTAAAGCTGGATTAAATTCTAATGTAAATTATAAAATGGTTAAACTTATACGATTAGTGGGAATTATGATGATAGTTTTTATTAAAGAAGAATTAGCTGAACATGTCAAAAATGTAGCTGCAGAAACTGTTGGAACTGGTATAATGGGAAAACTAGGAAATAAAGGTGGAGTTGCTGTTAGACTTGACTTTCATCGGACGCCAATATGTTTTGTGAATTGCCATTTAGCTGCCCACATGGAAGAATGTGAACGTCGTAATCAAGATTACAATGATATTTGTGCTAGGATAGCCTTTACTCAGTTTAAGCCCCCTAAATACATCAAAGATCATGATCATATATATTGGATGGGTGACATGAATTACAGAATCATGGACTTCGACAATGAACAGGTTAAAAATCTAATAGAGAAAAAATGTTATTCAGTTCTGTTAGAGCATGATCAACTAACCATTCAGAATAAACTGAAAAAAGTTTTTGTAGGTTTCAATGAAGGGGTGATTGATTTCGCACCAACATATAAATATGATGTTGGGACATGTAACTGGGATTCCAGTGAAAAAAATCGTCCACCTGCATGGTGCGATAGAATTTTATGGAAAGGAACAAATATGAGGCAGTTAGCCTATAGAAGCCACCCAAAACTCTTATATAGTGATCACAAGCCAGTTAGTGCCGTATTTGAATCGAAAGTTAAAGTAGTGGATATATCAAAATATCGAAAGATCTATGAAGAAGTAATGAAAAAACTGGATAAATTAGAAAATGAATTCTTACCTCAAGTTACCCTGGATAAGTTAGAAGTAAATTTTGAAAAAGTTCATTTTATCGAATCAAAAGTCCAAACTATAACAATTGCCAATACTGGTCAGGTTCCAGTTCAGTTTGAATTTAAGAAAAAGTTGAATGATACCAGATATTGTAAAGACTGGCTGAGTATCAAACCCTACATGTCATTTTTGAAACCTGGTGAAAAATGTGATGTTGATTTAGAAGTTTTTGTTGATAAAAGAATAGCTTATAAGTTAAATGCAGGGAAAGACAAAATTTATGATATTTTAGTATTGCATTTAGAAGGTGGTAAAGATTTATTCATAACAGTTTCAGGTTCTTATGTCCCTGGCTGTTTTGGTGCATCTCTTGAAGCACTGGTTCGAATTTCTGTTCCTGTATCTGAAGTTCCAGTTGAAGAACTATTTGAATTGGAGAATAATGTGTCAAATCCCACAAAACTTAAGCCACAGCAGTTTGAAATACCTAAAGAAATTTGGGTACTAATTGACCACTTGTATAAGTTTGGTTTAACTCAAGAAGACTTATTTCTTCAACCTGGTCTTCGATATGAAATTGAGAAAATTAGAGACAAACTGGACAGCGGAATTTATGAATTCGGTTCCTGTTCTGTGCATTCAGTAGCTGAGGCATTTCTACTTTTCTTGGAAGCATTGGCAGAGCCAGTTATTCCATATGAATTTTATTATAAATCTCTTGATTGTTCTAACAACTTCATCAGCTGTCGAAATGTTGTCAATGAAATTCCAAGAATTCACAGAAGTGTGTTTCGATATATAGTTGCATTTTTGCGAGAGATTTTAAATCATGGCACGTTAAATAGACTAGATGGAAAGTTGCTTGCAACCATATTTGGTGGCATATTGCTTCGAGAACCTATAAATGATACTCAGAATTCTGCAGCATATAAAAAAGTTAATCAGCAAGTTACAGAGAGGAAAAAAGCCACATTTATATTTCATTTTCTTATGAACGATTTTGATGACATGTAATTATAACCATAAAAGTATAATACTATTATTTAAAATTAAGCTGGGAAAGGTACATCTATATATTTCCCTTGCAGCCATATGATTAACATATTTAGTAGTAATTAGTCCTGATACTCTCAGTTCATTACTCATTTTATGACAGGGACCAGTTTTATTTGTTATGAAGTAACAGTTTTCTGGTTCAAATTGTATAGAACAAAGTTGCCATTTGTAAAGTTGTGTAAAATTTGTACTTAAATCAGCATTTTAAGATATTTAGTTGTCTTTTAAAATGCTGTTCATAATACAGAATTTGTGGTTATCAAGTATTTTACTCTCAGGTGTATACAATAATTCCAAGTAGATACAGTATTGCACTGTGGACTGTGTTAATTTAATTGGCTTAGTACTGTAACAAATTTTACAGTGAAATGTCTTCATACAGTGTATCAGTAATCATCAAGCATTGCAACTAGTCTGTGGATCAAATACTCTGTATATTAAATATCATATTCTAGTTTTCCAATTCATGATATAGTATTTTAAAGTTTTAAAAGTACTAAAATTAAGTGCTGAAATTCATTAGAACTAGAAATGACATTTCTGAATGCAAGTGGCTGTGTTAAGTACATTTTATTTTAAGAACCTTCTCTGTTAACATTAAGTACATTTTTAGTAAGAAATATATTAAAGTAGAATAAGATTAATTGTATACATATAGTTTTCGTACTTAAGTAGTAAATCATTTTTATTCAATACTTTGAACTATCATTAAAAAGATACTAATTCATATTTGCATAGGCTGTCGTTCATATTCTCTGTGCATAAAACAAATCCTCTTTTGAAATAAATTTATTTCCTCAAATATTTATTTAGTTAATAATATATAAAAACTGATTATACTATATTTATATGCCTTTTCTACTAATTAATTTTCTTGTCAGAATTTATTGCTAGAAGTTTGTTTTATAGTAGCTTTTGAATTATTTTTAGCAGTTATATACTATTTTATTGGATAATGTCAAATAAAGTAAAAAGATTAAGCATATGTGAAATTCCGTAAACAGTAAATTACTGGAATGTTTAAATATATTTATGTTTAAGGTCTCTAGAATTTAGGAAATATTTTTGGCAGGTTTCGACTTGTATTTATAAATATTATTTGAAAATATAATCTTGTTTCTCAGTATTCAAGAAAAGTAGCTTTGCACCGAGTTATTTTTGCTGCAAAAACATCTTAAGGCTGTAGACCTGGAGTTTGTATCATCTTGAAATCTGCATGTTTAACCAAGTTGAAATTAAACTGGATATTATTGAGTTGTTACATATCAACAGTATCTTTGTTGTCACTCCCCCTTATTTTTATGTACAAAAATTTAGTGATTAGGAAAACCCATGCCATATTTTGTAAATTTTGTCAAATTAATGTATAATTTTCTGGGAAATTATATAATTTACCAGCATAACGTCTGTTGTAATTGAATGAAAGTGTTTTACTTATATTTAAATATGAAACTTTTATAAATTTTATTACCAGTCAAAAAAAATTTAAACCACAAATTTTTATTCAAAAAATCACTTTTTTTAGTTAAATTATTAACTAAAAGTTAGTTTAGTTAAATAATTTTTTAGTTTTTTTAGTTTGAACATTTCTTTGTGTTTCTAGTTATGTATCAAATCTCGAAATTTGCATACTGTTGCAATACTGTCATAACACACACACAAAAAAGAACGTGAAAATTTCTGTGCTCAATTTATAACACAAAAACATGTATGATATGAAACAAAAATTCACTGTCAGTTTGGCTGTGTTGAAACTTTTAAGTGGTTATTCCTTGTACATGCATAAATATGAGCTGGTTCCTCTTGAAAATCCTCCATGAAGTCATTCTTTTCCTCGGGCAAATAGCTATTAAAAAAACGGTTAATCTTTGGATTATGGTAACTTGGCGACCAACCCTGCTACAGCAACCTGCTAGTTTTTGTTTGGGCGCCATTTTGTTTTCACGAAGTTAAAGCCATGTTTTTTTTTTTTTTTTTTTTACTCAACATTTTTTTCCAACAATCTGCTAGCCGAATTGCGCTTATGCTAGAACTTTTATGGAACAAAAGTGCTGAATCATGACGAAGATTAGGTGCAAAATTGGGAGAAAGTGCAGAATCGCCCACTGCTTGCCGCGTTTTTAAGAATTGCACATACACAGTACCATCCATGTGCACGTCGACCTATTTTCACTTAAAAACATCCCAGAATTGCACAAAAAATGGCATTGCGCACACTCTTGACTTTATCCATGTACAATGCTAAAGTCCTAGCTAGGAACCTTTATCGCCTTATCAAAATGTCGCCAAACTACCTGTTACCATATTCCAAAGATTAGCCCTGGTTCCTCTTGAAAATCCTCCATGAAATCATTCTTTTCCTCAAGCAAATAGCTATTAAAAAATATTCAATTCAATTTTCTGCCCCTCCTGTCAAATTTCTGATATGTGTTTATTACTATCTAGTTGATTGTCTTATTAAAAATAATTAATAATTTTTAACTAAAATAATCTACTTTAATTCCAATTTTAAACTGGGTGAAAAAAAAAATATTTTTCATGCAAGGGCATATTTTCTGGGTAGTAATTCCAAATTGCCTTTCTCGTGTTATGCCCAAACTTGTATTCCTGTGATATGTTGCTGTAATGTTTTGGTCATGTTTCAAGAATCGTGTATGTATATTTTTTTTTTTTTTTTTTTTTTTAACTGGCACTATTCTGAGTCATGTATAGCTCGATCTATCAGTTGGAATATTCCTAAATTGGGTAGGGGGACTAATGATGAGATGGGGAAAGATTTCTGTAAAGAAAACATTAATTCTGAAAGTTGCCACTAGGGGAAAATTTGGCACCGTTCTAGTTGAGAATTGGACAAATCCATTACCAAAAAAAAGTAATTCTATTCCAGCTAAGAATTAGACAAATCTCTGACATAGAAATATTAGTGCAACACAAGTTTAATGTAGCAAATGAACTGTCCTGAAGGATTACAGAGATGATTAGTGTATCATAGCACTTGATTCATTAAGAGACATCATACAATGTGACCACCCTTCTCATGGATCACAAATTGCCCTGTACACAACAACAAATATAACATGTCATCAAGATGCTCAGTACAGACCGTGATATATTGTCTTTTAAGGTCATCAAAGTTGGACCTCACAATGTAGACCTTGAACTTCAAACAGCCTCTCAGGGAAAGCCACGTGGAGTTAGATCCAGGAAATGAGGCAGATATATTAGTGGAAAAAAAGCAACTTAATGAGCCTTTCTTCTGTAAAGTGAAGTTGCTGTACCAATAGACCTATGTGCAGTGGTGCTGCAGCCTAATAGTTATTTGCTTCTGCTGAAATTGGAGAATGACGAAACTAGTCATCATGCCATGATACCTTTGTGTGTTAATGGCACAGGTGTGTGGTGTAGTTAGAGTAATGTTCTCAAAAGGGAATAGTCTGCTGATAAAATCTGCCATGAAGCCACACCAAACACTAAACTTTTGGTGAATTCTTGAACTGCATAGAATTGTTTAGATGCCCAAATTCAAGAATTATGAGTGTTAACATTCCCATTTAGGTACAAGTGGGCTTCATTTTCTCACAGAATTTTCTATATTCGAGCATCATCACTCTCTATCCTGACAAGAAATGTCAGAGCAAGTGCCATCTGTTCATCATAATCATTGTATTTTAATTCCTGCACGTGGCTTATCTTGTATGGGTAGAAGTGGAGAACTTTCCATAAGATGTGCCCTAACATTAAAAATTCAAATCCAGTTGTTGTACTATTCCCCAAGCACTGCTACTGCCAGCAATGATTTTTTTTTTTTTTTTTTTTATTGCAGTCATAACACCGGTTTCTGCCCTCTACCAAACTGAAGTGCAAGCATTTGAATTTTCAAATTTTACCTGGGTTTCATGCAACATTTCAATTGTGTAAACTAGAATGGTGCTACATTTCCCCTTATCGGTAACTTTTGGACCTAATTTTGCTTTTATGGAATTTTTTCCCTCTTGCCGTCATTAGTCCCTCTACCAAATGAGTAGTGTCAGTTAAAAAGCAAACATTTTTTACTCATTGAAGGTGTTGGAAAAAGTGTTCAATGTACGTAGGGATATTAAAAAATGACTGGAATAACCAACATTGCAAACAACAGTTTTGTAGCTAAGCTTTATTAGCTCATGTCTATATGCCAAATTGCATAAATTTGAGTAGAGAGGGTCATTCTCTATCTGATTTGTGTGTGCCCCTTCTCAAAATCTTGTGCCTTTAAAAACTTTGTCAAATCACATCGATTTAAGTAGAGCAGTTTGTTCTGCGTGCTGATTTGTATTTCTCTCGGTATCCTTAATTTTATTGTTGTGTCACCACAAAGATTGTATGTGAAATTCTATTTTTTATTAAGAAAACTGCAGCTGAAACTTAATCTCTTCACTCCCAATATATCTCGTATAATACACTCGAGTTTCCTTCCATGGGTCCACCATATCAAATGTAATACTGGAGTGAAGTGTTACTGATGGTTCACTGTACTATGTTTTATGTGCTGAAAAAAAAAATGGAATATTTTACTTAAATAAATGATGTTAGAATGCTGTAAAACTTAATTGGATAGAATGTTTTTTGAGTATTAACCTTGTTATAAGTATTAATTTCTATTTAATTCTTCAAATGTAAAATGCAAATTTAAATTATAGAAATGTTTCACTCAGTGCAAACAGCTTAAAATATTATATGGAAGTATGACAGTAGTCTGTAATACATGCTGATCTTTAAATTCTTAAGTTTTCTGCTTAATTATTGTATCGAAATAATTTAAATATGCAATCATAATCTATATTACTAATAATGGGCTATAACTTACTTTTTATTTTTGTTTCAAGCATAAATATTTGGAATTTCTGCTTATATTGTTAAAATAATAATAATGTGTAAATAACATGCAAGAATTCAAATATTTTCATACAAAGCAGATTTTGTAGGAATGCTTTTTGTATATTAGGTTCAATTGTAGAACATGCTTGAGCACACGAGGGTATTCAGCATTCCAAGGTCACACTTCCATGGTGAAACTTTGTTCTTTGGTTGCTGGGAGTGAAGAGTCATGTTTTTTGTAAATTGAAAGTTTACAAATGGTTTTTTGAATTCAAAAATAGGGACATATTACATGAAGACTCGCTATGAGTAGGACATCCATTTATGAGCCGAAATGAGAAAAATTAAGAAAGTGTGATGGGCTATAAATGAAGACCATTGAACAGATTTTTGTTGAAACACTCTGTCTAATATTTCTTGGAGAACACCATGGTGCATATGTTTCACTCACAGTACTCACCAAATCGTGCTCAGTGAGGCTGTTTTTCTTTCTAGAGAAAGTTGTCAGAAATCAATTCAGTGATGTAGATGAGATACAAGTACTTTGCTTACTTAGAAAACTGTTTCATCATGGTATTCTAGTAGTCTGCAAAATGTTAGGAAAGGTGTTTGGTTGTTGGTGAGGAATACTTTAATCTCGTAAGATGGCATGCAGAAATTATAAAATTAAAAATATGAAACCGTAATTTATGAAATAAAGAGCTATTATGATCTAAAGGGTATCAAAATGTACAAAAAAAAAAGCTTAATATTTATTTGTTTACTTTATTAAACATTTCTTTCAATGTAAGTTGTTTAAGTTGCTTCGTTTTATGTGCTAATACTTTCTCTTTAATTCTATGAACAGACATAATTTCTGGTTCAGTTCCACTGTTCAAGTCCTGTAATTGCTGTGTCGAGAATACCGACTAACTTGTCAATCAAAATTTTTTCATTTTCAAATACCTCTTTGTAACTTTCTTCACTATCAGAAGCGGTACATCGAAACATGCTTTTGCTTTGTAGATCCTTTGGCAGCTCCAGAATCGGAAACTCTTTTTGACATAATCAAAAGTTACTTTTTCTTAATCTTACTTTTTTATAAAATTGTTCTAACAGTCTGCAAAAAATAATAAGCCGTGTCCAATTAGAAGATTAAGGAACAATGCAATCTTCAACAGTAACTGAAATAGATAATTAGATAATTTTAGCCTATATAAAGTCCGTTATACCTTAAACGCGCATGCGTTAAAGTATTATCCATACGCATATGTGCATGCATAAAGGTATTATATGTACGTGCGTAAATGCATAAGCGTATGAAAGTTTGTAGCTTTGAGGTCCGGATTATGGACGTCCAGATTAAAGACTTTGTACTATAGTATGTAAAATAAATTATAAAACATAAGTATGAAACAAGTACTTGAAGAATACATCAAAAAATAAACCAAAAGCAAATAACAACAATATTGTTTAATTATGAAGTTACAGTAATGAACATGCATTTTTACTTTTAGAAAATAAAAATTATAACATAACTTCAATTAGAAACTAATAAGTTTGGCAA